AATAGCCCCTATAGTAGTTCTCTATCTAATCCCCTATATAACCCCCTTTAAGGAGTTTAGATTATGGCTCATATCCTTTTCGACTAGAATAGGTCACATGGGGCTTGGGGCAAAATGTGAGGACCCAAGGCATCGGCACGCACAAAGCCAGAAGCCAATGCCACCCCAGAAGTTCAACACGGCTGCCCACCACACCTTGGGCTTAGGGACTTTAGGGTTTAGGGGTTTAGGGGCATTGTCCGTGAGTCTTTGCGAAAAGTTGAGGATACGAATCGGTTTGCACACCTGACATGGGAAGTCAAGTGTGAGGCACAGGGCGCAGCTCGCTTTCGGGGTGACAACTGGTGGTAACAAGCAACTTATAAAAAAAGGCCCAAAAACGTCCCAAATCTAGCACAAGTGAGCTCCCCATGAGTTCAGTTACATGTGGTAGTTTCCCAAAATAAGGTGACCCCAGTACAGAACAGACCCCAAAATACTATAGTCCTTATTATGGGGACCCCCAAAAGGGTACCCCCTAATTTTAGGAAACCCCCATGTCAGAGTGTACCCGGGGATAACGGGAATGACTCGTCTGGACGCTTACCCTCACCGACCACATCGTGGTCAAAAAGCGAAATCCTCAACAACGATCACCTAATTATGTTCGCCTCTTCCGTGGTCATCCTAAAGACTGCGTGTATAGCCCCTTCAGTAGATAGAAAATGGCTTTGGGTAAATCACATTAAGACTCCCATTTGCCCCCACATTCTATCTACTTTAGGGGGACCACAACTACAGAACATGAATCTAGAGGTTCCTCGACTCACAACCAGGGTGGCTGACCTGGCATTGGTAGGATCACAAGCGAGAGAATCCGTCTTGATTTTGCTTGGCAAGGGTGTTTGGCAAAGCACATTGAGGGCATGTTACTTCAGAGGCGCTAGCATGCAACTGCAGGCGAATATAGGCAATTGCATTTTGCAGCATGACTCGTGTGCGCCTGCCTATTGCAGTCCAGACATTGCTCTGTGGAAAAGCGCTTGGGATGTCAGAATTTTTTGCAGAATGATGCAACCAAGGTCACCAGGGTGTCTGGAGGAGTTGCCCAGCAGCGGTTGTGCACCTCTGCATCTCGTGCCAAGAAATCTAGCAGCCAAGAAACGGCTAAGGAGTCGATATTGGTAATTATCTCAAAGCTTTCCGGGAGAGCCCTTTCTCTTCTGGACTGAACGGCCTCTGCGGGCAGCATGCCATCCCCGGGCGGCCCTCTACATCCATTCTCCAAGTACGGTCGCAGTATCCCTATATAACCCCTATATACGAAAGTAGTTTCTATTATATTTTCATTATCCCAATATAACCCCAATATACTATAGTAGCTTCCATTATATGTTCCATTATATCAATATAGCCCCAATGTACTATAGTAGTTTCCATTCAACTTTCATTATCCCTTTAAATAGCCCCAATATACTATAGCAGTTTCCAATTTATTGTCCATGATCCCAATATAACCCCTGTAGTTTCCATTTTCTTTTCCATTATCCCAATATAACCCCTATGTACTATAGTAGTTTCCATTCTATTTTCCATTATCCCAATAAAACCCCAATGTACTATAGTAGTTTCCAATTTATTGTCCATTATCCCTATTAATAACCCCAATATACTATAGCAGTTTCCATTGCATCTGGGCCGCCACTTCCATGATCCCACCCAGAAAGAAGCAAACGCCTGCGGCCCGTGCAACATCTCGCTGCAGGAAAATTCGCTCCGCTGTATGTGTATCAAATTAGTAATCATTATTTATCATTATTCATTTTAAGTATTTGTTACTATAGATTGTATTTATTTATTGTTGTTAATCATAATTATCTATTGTTAATTTGAAGCTGCCTTGCCCAGTCATGGACGAGCGATCAAACCCTTGACCAGCCTCCCCAAATCTGTGGCCACTCCACCAGAGTCGCATGCATCTCCTCTTGGGGTGCAGATTTGAGGGTGACTTATCACAAAATGCAGGAAATCAAATCGGGGGCGAATGTGGTGAAGTTCACGGCGAGGGTCTTCAGTTGAGCATCTGGAATTGCCCTTTTTCCCAGACAGGTGTCCCCTTCTGCTTTCTCTCAATCTTTGAGTATGCTGACATGAACACTGACAGTTCGCTTGTGATTTTCAGGTCTGCGCAAAGCTCAAACTTTCAGCGGCATGCCCTGGGCTGCATCGTCTAAACACTGTTTGTTGCACCACATCAAAGCCCGCTCTTGGGGGGCGTGCCTTTGCGCGGACTAACATGCCACGATTAATAGGGGTTCCGTCTTACATCTTGGCTCTGAGTGGGCAGGTAGAGGTAGGTATGGCTTGATATGGCAGAGCGGGAGTTGCGATATCACAAGGTGCCTGCGACAGGGTGAAGGCATCTGCCAGATTTGCAACCTCATACAGAATGGCGCCGACCAAGTAGATCACCCATCCTTGGTGACAAGGCCACCTCATCTGGCAGCTTCCCAAAACTAAAATGGAAACTACTTTAGTACTTATATTGGGGTTATATAGGGATAATGGAAAATAAAATGGAAACTACTCTAATAATGGGTTATATGGTAGTTTCCCAAAACAAGGGAACCCCAATATAGACCCCAAAATACTCTAGTCCTGTTTAATAGGGACCCCCAAAAGGGTACCCCCTAATTTTGGGAAACCCTAATCCCTATAATCCTCTATATAATCCCATTTTCCATTTCATTTTCCATTTTCTTTTCCATTTGATTCTCCATTATAGTAGGTACCCCTAATTTTGGGAACTACCCCTAAACCCTAAACCCCGCTTCGAATCGGCCTGAGGACGGGACCAAGTATGGAAGAGAGCGGCTGATACCAGTAGACATCGCCTGAGCTCAGGACTGCCTAAGTGGCTTAAGGTTTGGGGTTTGGGTTTAGGGTTTAGGGTTTAGGGTTCAACGCAACAAAGACGAATGCGTTGACGTCCCCATCCCCCAGTAATATGTGGGGGTTTGGCAAAATTAGGGGTACCCTTTTGGAGGTCCCTATAAAAAGGATTATAGTTTTTTGGGGGTCTATAGTGGGGCCCACATTTAATGAAACTACCATGCAGAAGTTCCTGAAAAGAGTATAGCACACTGCCACTGACCCCTACATCGGACTGTTTGCATATGGCACACAGCAACTGCTGTCGTCGTCATTCTCCGTGGATGAGGTCGGTTGCCCACCTGCCAATGACTGCCAGAATCTGTCAGAGCAAGAGTCCTCTGGAGTTTCCCCAATATACCATAGTAGTGTCCATTTTCTTTTCCATTACCCCAATGTAACCCCAATATTATACCCATATGTATACATATATATATATATGAAAATATCTATATACATATGTACATATGTACATATGTATACATATATACATATATACATATATACATATATACATATATACATATATACATATATACATATATATATATATTCTATTTGCCTTTTGCCTTCGTCTTTTTCCGACTTGTCCTCGCGCAGGACCGTGTACAGCGCTTGCCAGTCACACCAGAGCAGGTTGGCACCTTGGTTCATCCCTAAACCCTTAAACCCTAAAACCCTAAACCCTAAACCCTAAACCCCTAAACCCTAAACCCCTAAACCCCTAAACCCTAAACCCCTATATGATGGAGTCCCATGTTCCCCACTAAAAGAAACTAAGACTATTGCTACAGGGTTGAAGGCTGCAGCAGATTCAGCTTTCTACCTTCTTGACTGAAATATGACCCCAATGTACTATAGTAGTTTCCAATTTATTGTCCATGATCCCAATATAACCCCTACATATTATGTAGTGGTTTCCATGTTCTTTTCCAGTATCCCAATACTACCCCGATGTACTATAGTAGTTTCCATGTTCTTTTCCAGTATCCTAATAAAACCCCGATGTACTATAGTAGTTTCCATGTTCTTTTCCAGTATCCTAATATAACCCCGATGTACTATAGTAGTTTCCATGTTCTTTTCCAGTATCCCAATATAACCCCAATGTACTATAAAGGTTAGTTTGATTGGACATCCTGCTCTCCAACACAACCGGAGCTGCAGGCTTGCTTGAACTATTGTCAGAAAACAGAGTGCTTCTACTTTTGCATAGATGATACCATCCCCCTATGTAATCCCTATAATCCCTGTAGTTTCCATATTCTTTTCCATTCTCCCAATATGACCCCAATAATATACCCCTATATAATCATGGGGCATGCCAATTGCATCGGGCCACGCTCCTTGGATAGGTCGACATCCATGTTGATCAGCTCTAGGTAGCCTGGACACCAACACTTGGTGCTCTTGCCTAGCGTGCCCTAGCAGCAGAAGGTGTAGACTCTAGATACTCTACGTAGATAAAAGCAACCGCGCGATCTGTATGGAATCCTTCTCCAAGCAACAACCAACCTGGCTCACCTCCCGCCCCCAGCTGGAACATGTTACGCGCATGGTGGATTCAGAAAAAGTTCATGGAAACACCTCAAGGTTTTCAATCCGCTGGCCCCGTTGGGTAAGCTTTCTTGAAATCTTGGCAAGGGTCCCATGTAGATGCCGATCCCGAACCAGGTGCTGCCCACGACTGTCGGGATCTTGGATATCCAGAACCTCGGCAGCAATCAGGTCAATATTCAATATTGTGTACATTAGTGAGCAAGTAGTGCGTAAAACTACTCCATTCGGAATGAAGATCCAGGGGGTCCCACAGATCAACATGTTCTTTTCCATTATGTAGTTCCTAATTTATTTTCCATTATCCCAATATAACCCCAACCCTAAACCCTATACAACCCCAGTGTAGTAGTTTCCTAACAGGGAAAAGCAGCCCAAGTTGCAATCATGATTGTATTGGCATGTGTTGTTTCACAAGCTGAAGACCCATCACACAAACGAACACGGGAAAATTACGCCAAACCTATCCACGTTTACAAATACAACCTGAACATTACCCTAATATAACCCTACTGTTATCATAAAACTACCCCAAAACCCCCTCTCAAAACACCTCGAGCGAGTTTGCTACACAGCCAGAAACAGCGTCCCGGCACTGGCACAACGCTGGCCGGCGTACGGCAATTTAATTCGTACAGGAAAAGCAGCAGTGGCAGGTGGCAGCAGGGCAAGCGCACAAGCCCACATTTGACGGCCGATCAATTTCAAACACATCGGCAGCGCATCAGCGGGAGAAACCGCGATACCACCGCACAATCGCAGCCTCCCACCAGGACGAGCAACACGCCTTTTCTTGCTAGATGCGTAAAATGCCGGTGCTCTGATCCCACATCAATCGGTTTTAAGGATTCCCGAACCTCAACCATCCTCAGGGAGTGGTGGCTTGAAAGTCATCGGGTTAGTTGGGGATACTATGGTACCCAATATAGGGTTTAGGGCCCTATAATGGAAAATCAAAAAGAGAATGGAAAATGAAATGGAAACAGGGATTCTATACGGGTTATTTGTGTGGTATTTTATTTCATTTCCCATACTGGCTGGGCGTGCCCACTTTGATAACCAGGCGACCACCCACCAAACTCAGCGGCGGCCATCCTACCCAACATGTAATCGGCACCCTGCCTCGATCCTCCCCTTCAAGAGGAAACTCCTGCTCCTAGGTGCACGGTCCTACCCAGCAAGAGTTGGACAACACAGACACCCTGTGCCTGCTCACACTGCGCGCCGCCTTCCGGACACATGTCTTTCGACCAAGTGGAGCGCACTCACATATGAGCGGTTCCATCTTCGGGGCTCCTGCTCCAAGTGACCCCTAGAGGAGACCTGCGGTGCAGGTCACTTGCGCGATGCGACGCGTCCTTGTAGCACCAGCGCACTTTGAAGATCTAAACCTGGAACCTCTCATAAAAGCTTCCTCCTTTGAGCTGACCGCTTTATAAACCCCTTGCTTGTACAGTGTGAGGAGTGTGCAGGAGTTCGCTCCTTGTACTGTCGGGTGTTTGGCTGGAGCTTAATTTTTGGCTATTCGTAGCGGAGCTCCCACCTAACCGTGGATCATGCGCTCTTGGAGCACTGGCGTGTAGCATGGGCTGACAGGTTAACACCCTGCACCCTAGAACAACCTAAAGCCTAAAAGCCCTACACGCAACAAGCCCTAAACACTGAAAAATACATAAGATCCGAACCCTAACTACCCTAAGCCTAGAAACCCCAAGCCCTAAAATCGTACACCTTCAAACCTTAAATCCTAAAAAAAACAAGCCCTAAAATACCATACACACTAAATTACCCCTAAAAACCTAAACGCTAAAAACCCCAAACTCTCAACACCCTAGACCCTAAACACCCTAGCCAACATTTTATGAACCCCACCAACCCTGGACCCTAAAACCCTAAAGCCTAAATTTCTTCAGTGAAAGAAGTAGAGCTGGGATTCTAGCAGCATATGCTTTGGCGTTCATGATAGTTCGACGGCACAGGGTTGAAACAATGCAAAAACTGCACAATTCGAAGGGAGGTGCGTCATCCGCGAAGGTGCCCCAGGCCAGAATGCATCGAACAGAGGCGGCCAGAGAAAGAAGAGGCATCCCTCCACCTCAGGCAATGCAGCATTGAAGTCAATATGTTAGGTGGACCCCCCACCCAGTAATAGTGACTACAAGGGATAATGGTGATTATATTCGGGCTCTCTTATATTCCTGTTATACCACTATTACAGGGTGGGGAGTCCTCCTAATCAATTTGCTGCGCACACACACACACACATCCCTAATCGATTTGGGCTTCGGTTCGCTGCACTTGAAGCCTTGTTCAACAAAACTCCAGTTTTGCCGAGGCTTTAGGCTGATGTACCAAAACATGCCTGGACTGCGCAAGGTTGGCGTGGTGCCTGATGTCTTTGCCCGTTTTCTTCAAGTCTGGGCCCCTGCTCTGCCTCAACCTATGCTTGGAGGCCTTGAAAATATCGTTTCTTCATTGCAAAACTCTATGTTTGTTTATGAACAGCATTCTACAGTGCAAGATGTGGTGAAAGGTGAAGCGTGTTAGCTGCATTAGTCTTTTTCTAGACTTTGCAGCGGTCTGCAAACCGCACTGTCTTCTTCTCATGATTGCACATCCACATGCAAACTCGCATGCACTTGTAGATGGCTGGTCTCACTCCTCGTAGATTGTTATAACAGACATTCCTATAGATATATAAATACAATACATAGCAGGGAGAGAGAGAGAGAGAGCGAGAGAGAGAGAGAGAGAGATAGACAGATATATATATATATATGATAGAGATACCTTTAGGGTCTATTTGACGTCCTATTTAAATTAGCTAATATATAAATAAATTAAATAATTCAAATAATTCAAATAATTTAAATAATTCAATTATTTGAATTATTTGAATTATTTTGGAGGCCCGAGAATTCAAATA